ATTAGGGAAGTCAAATACTTAGTTTTTTACTTTAAAAACTTTAATTAGAAAATATACATAGCATAAAACTTACCTTTTATACTATTTTAAGGTATACAGTTTAGTAGCCTTAAGTACATTCAGTGTTACATAGCCACCCAAGTGCAGAACTAGATTTCCAGAGCTAGAATAGCTTCTACATATTTCATGTAAGTGGGATTGTCCTTCTGTGTCTGACTTATTTCACTTAGCATAATGTTTTCAAGGCCCATCTATATTGTAGCATATATAAAAATTTTATTCCTTTTTATGGTTGAATAAATTCCATTGTGTGTACCATATTTTGTTTATTCATTCATCCTCTGTACTCCTGGTTACAATATAGGAGGATTAAAAATGTAACTATTCATTATTGGTAATTTAAATAGCAGATTTACTGATTAAATAGTAAATCATATGGTATAGCATATAGATATCTATAGAACATGAATTATGGAGCTCCTTTCCCTTTTGTTTTTTGTAATTTAGGGAAGGAGAAATTCAACCTGGTATTTGAAATACTGAGTCATTAATTTGAGGTAACCCGTTAGTCATTTAACTCTTACTTTCCTCATGATGTTAACAGTACTGGCTTCATGAAAGGTTAATTTGAGTTTTTTTAAAGTTAAGTTTTGTTTAAGTTTTTCTTTGAGTTTCTTTAAGCTTTGTTTTTTTAAAAACTGTTAATTATTACCTACACCAGAGTCATTCTTTTTTTAAGCTTGCATTATAACTTTTGTAAATCTTTATTGAAGGCTGTATCAGTTTTACTATCAATAATTTTACCCTGTTACTTTTGTTGACCTGGAACCTAGCACAGTGTCTGGTACATAACAGCTACTTAACAAATATTTGTATAATAACAGACATTCTAGAATTAGTTTTGTAGGTTATATCCCTAAAATCATCCATCATTGGTAGATTTCGCTAGTTTCATTTTTATAAGGCTCTTGAGTTTTATTTAACTTTGTTCCTATATATTAACAAAGATTAGGCTTTTACTTTCAAAACCTTTTAAGTTTTCAGTGCTATCATGCCATGTTTTTAACCGTTATTAAGCAATAGAGCCAAAATTTTACCGAAGGCCGTCATTTCCTGGCTTCTGTGCTTATGAATCAGAGTGTAACTATTTCTTTAACTTTGGATTTGTGGTTTCTTGAACTACTTTAAGTGATGCAAAAGATGACTCTTGTTAGGCGTTTCCTCTCTTAAAAGTGTATTTGGTGTTTTATTGTAAACACGTTTTCTCCAAGGAAACTTCTCTACAGTCTCACTTCATCATCACCTAGGAATGAAATCCCATCTACATGCACTGACGCCTGTGTATTTTATCATTTGTTACTCATGTGTATTGGTTTTTACTTATTTAGTTTTTCTAAATGTTCCAGAGGGTTTGAAGTAACTCCATTCTGACTCAATGTTTTGCTGATTACTGGACATTTCCCTTTAGGTAACTCTCCACCCACTTTGGACTTGTAAATGTTACCCTGCTGTTGGTTCCCTCTGGCCACTGAGTGCATGAATAAGTGTCACATGCATGTGGTATTGCTTGTCAGAGAGTAGAATTCCAAGACTTCCTCTGTACATAGAACAGTTAAACTTTCGTGCTTCTGGGCAGAGGAATGGTCTTTGGGACAGTTCTGCTTCCACCTAATTGTTATGGCAGAGATCAGGACACATCGCTTTGCTGTCTATGCAGTGAGGCCTCAGGAACGGCTCTCCCCAACTTGACAGGTATGAAAGCAGGGGTGATCATTTGGGGGAGGGTAGATAACCACAGTAATCAAGCATGAATGAGATTCCAAAAAATTTGTACTGCTGTTGTTGTTAACATCTTTATTCTTGGCCAGTGAAGCTTCAAGTGTTTTTTCCCTGTTAGGGCCTTAGTAATGAAAGAATAAATGAATAATGTGTAGTATTTTGTAGTATTAAGATATGTATGGCTTGATATTGAGAACAATTCAATGATTTATCCAACTACCCTACATAGTTTTTAAAAGAAGTATTAAAAAGTATTAGCTTCCTTAGGGATTTGCCTGGTGGTTTAGTGGTTAGACGCCATGCTTTCACTTCCGTGGGCCCATCTGGGTTTAACTCCTGCTTGGGGAACTAAGATCCTTCAAGCCATATGGCATGGCAAAAAAAAAAGGTATTAGTTTTTAAGAATATGCAGTCAGACAAAGTAGAATTCTGGCAAGGTAAGTGTTCATAAAAATGCCTGGAAATGTGCTAAATTGAAATTTTTTATTAATTTCTCCAATTAATAACTGACAAATTTCTACTTAAACTGATAAAATTTATTGAATGACTAATTGGTGAAAGTGTTTTTTAATAATTCCTAAATTTAATGTTTAATTTTATCTGTGAATTTGAGTTTGAGTCTTGTTTAATCCTGATAATTTTCTGTACAAGCTGCTCTTTCTAGTTTTACTTTATTTTTATTGTATCCTGCAGGCATATCAGTAGAAAAAAAATGACCTTTTCTTAATAGTCATAATGTATTTCTGCTGGGACCTATTTCTGAGTTCCATATTTCATAAGTAAAAATTAGAGTCTTCTGTTGCCTCAAGGTGAGTCCATGATGTGCCTCCATAATAGTGATTAATGAAGGATAACTCGCCGTCTAAGGTACCTTATATATAGTAGTCACTTAACATTGTTCAAAAATAAAACATTCCCAGCCTGTGCACTTGTATTTGGGCAGATGCGGTACATCTGAATCATCCAGATTTGTCTGTCTTAAGCTGACGAGGAAAGGCGCATAGGCTGGATATATTAGATAACACTGTGGCACTTACTTCCTATAGGCCCCCCTCCCCTTTTTGTCTTCATGCCTTAGCTTTTTCACCTCCATTTAGTTCTTGCCTCCATTTAGCTCTTTAACTCCTTATGATTTAAAACATGTTCATTCTCAAGAAAATGTTAGGATGTTTCTTGTCTTTGGAAAATTTCCTCTTTTGTTTGGTGCTAGTAGGTGGGATGGTGTTTAAGTGGATATCCTGTGCAGGCAGATTGTACAGGAAACTGACCCTTAGTTCTGTAAGAACAAAAGAGTGAGTGGGAAGAAAGAAGAAAGGAAGGAAATAAGATCGTTTGACTTGACCAAAAGGACTGTAAAAACCAGAGATGGGAAGGGGATTGGAGAATAAAAAGGATTGTTTTCCAAGCTGTGGTTCTTTTTGTATTTTGGCCTCAGAAATGATTGTCTTCCTGTATGTATTATTTTGTATATTTGAGAAATGTACAGTATTGTTTGGCATGTGTATATGGTTTAAGTTTTCATAAAATTGTGCTGAAGGTCTCATTCTCTTTTCTCCTTTTGTCAAATAACATGATTTTAAGAGGCTGACTTGCCTTTAAAAATCCTCCTTTGAGTTTGATGGAGTTCCTCTCTAGTACAGATGAATCACATGTCATAGACATATCCTTGCATTTTGACAGTCTGTCATTAACCTGTCATCAGTGCGAAATCCATTTTAAGTGTGCTCATCCAATTTAAATGCTTCCTTTTCTCTGAACCTTTTCTGACTGCAGAATTTTGTCTTCTGTCCTCAGTGTATACTCTGTAACTATAGCAGAATGTGTGATTCATTTATTCAATAAACTGTTTTTGAGAGCCTCTTATATGCAGTAACTGTTCTGGGTGCTTGGAATTTATCAGTGTACAAAGCAGACAAAAATACCTGTCCCCATAAAACTAATATTCTCGTGAGGTGGGGCAGTAGCTCACATGAACATGACGACAGGTAAGTAAATTGCATTTTGGGGGGTGATGTATCGATGGAGAGAAATGAGTTAAGGAGACATAGGGGATGTGGAAGTGTTGTCAGGAACAGATGCATTTTAAAACAGGATGGTTAGAGAATGCCATACCAAGACGGAAACATTTGAGTGAAATGTCGTGTCGGTAGCTTAGGGAAGAATGTTTGGGGAAGATGGAAAAGCCAGTACAAAGGTCCTGAGGTAGGAGTATGCCTGTCTTGTTCAGGTAGTAACAGGGAGGCCAGTAGGAAGAATGGAGTAAAGTAGGGAAGGAAGGGTAGGAAGATGAATTGGGCAAAGCCCCTCGTAAGGACTTCAGCTTTTATTCTAAGATAGGGAGCCGTCAGAGTTTCAAGTTTGGTCATCCTAGTTTATCTCAGTGTATAATACAGCTGTTCACATTCACTATGATTATGTGCTTAAACAAGAAGCAAGATACCCGTTTCAAATTATCTTTTCAGTACATTTGGACATATCTTCAGGTTTGTGGTAACTTTCTTAATGTAAAATGATTTAATTAGCTGTGAAACTTAAGAAAACATATTCTTTTTAAGAGGAAGAAGGAATGTGAAGAATGAAATAAACTGTTAGGAAAGCATCCGAGCTACAAGAGGAATTTCTGTCTATAGAATATAGACAGCTATGAAGCCATTTAAAAAACATTAGTTAATGCTATTTTAAGTCTAAAAGACACCTCATTGTTTCCTGTCACTTATATTTTTATGAAACTTAGTTATTCATTTAGTCAAAAGTTACTGAACACATATTATGTGACTCTTGCAAGAAAAAAGATAAAGTTCTTATGCTAAGAAGCGCATTGAAAAGTTGGGGGAATGAACATAAATTGAGGATAAAAATAGGAGGTATTACTGCAGCAAGTGTAATGCATGTGAGGCTTCCAAGGGGAGGTTACATTGAAGTTGAGTGTTTTTAAAATGAATAGAAGTCAGCCTGTCAAAGAAAAAAGAGTGGGATGAGTTCACATTCTGGGAAGATAGGACTATGTGAACAAAGGCAGAAAGGTAGGAAGCATCATGGTGTTTTTTCAAATTTAAAATTTAAGGTGTGGAATGGGAGAGAAGTGAAGCTGGAGAAGTATTAATAGGTGGAGATCTGGTTATAAGAGACCTTGAAGGCCTTGTTAAAAGAGATTTTTAACTTGATGGTGAACTACTGAAGAATCTTGAAGAGTGACATGGTCAAATTTTTGTTTTAAATAGATCACTTTGCCAGCTGTTTGGAGGATGGATTTGAGGGAGACAAGACTGGAGGCAGTAGTCCAGGTGAGAGATGTTGGGAATCTGAATTAAGACATTGGCAGTACAGGTGGAGAGGAGGGATTGGATTGGAAAATAAAACCACAGATTCAAGGGTTTTTCTTCTTCATATATGATAACACCAAGTTTAAATTAAAAATGAGTGGAAGAGAGAGAAACATACTAGAAAAGAATTGTTATATGACAGAGGCAGTTGCATGGTGGCAGAGTGCCACTAAAACCCATTTTTAGTGACTAACAAAATTGCTACTGAAAGAACAGTGTATTTTTGGTATGATTATCCTGAACTGTGAGAAGCAGGTGATCTTTAACTAACATGGCATAAGGATCACCTGTTTGTTTAGTGTAACTAAACAAGGAACCACAAAGCCTTGAAGAAGAAACCAGGTCTTACAAGGCTTCAGCCATTACAGGTGATAGGAACTCAGTAAATCATGTCCATTGCTGGCAGTGTTTTCTAGAGCCCTAATTAAGTTACAGTATTTTATTAAAAGTGTATGAAAAGAAAAGGAAAAAATTTTTTTCATTAAAACAATTAACAGTGGAAAGCTGTTATGTTATAGACTGTACATGACAGTACAAAGGTATTTTGGGTTGCCTAGAATATTTTGTATTAAACCAAAACACTTCTGTTTGATAGATAATTTTAGGATTTTTTTTCTAAAAGCATTATTTCTGTAATTATATGTAAAGGGAGGGCCTGGATTAATACAATCTGTACATGTTTCTTAAAGCCCATGCTGTCTTTTCTGCAGCTTGTTTTATGTGGAGGTAGCAAGGGGAGAGAGGTGCTTAGGGGGGACCTCACTCATAAACAGAGCTGCTCCTTCCTAGAGCCACCCTCACCGAGACAAGGTGTCTCCTGTGCTTCACAGAATGAACTGCCATTTCTTCTTGAGGTTGTTTTTATCCTTTCATGTTGAGGAAGCTGTGTTTCCTGTTCATTTACCTCTGATTTTGGTTCATGCATAAACATCACAGCTAAATGCTCATTTTGTGTTCTTTTCTCTATCTTGTTATGTTTTCAACAAGTAGATTTCTCTCCTGCTTCGGAGACATGCCATCTGCTCATTGTTCATGACTCCACACCACGTGTACAGTTTTGTTCCTTGCTGGAGCCATCAGTATAATGCCAACAGCTAAAATACTGTCTATGTACTGAATTCAAATGAATTTCCAGCTCTTGGACTCAGTGTAAACTCCTTTCACTTTTTGTCTTTCAGAAGCCTTGCACCGCCCCTACGGTTGTGATGTTGAACCCCAGGCCCTGAACGAAGCCATCAGGTGGAGCTCCAAGGAGAACCTGCTCGGAGCCACCGAGAGTGACCCTAATCTGTTTGTTGCACTTTATGATTTTGTAGCAAGTGGTGATAACACACTCAGCATCACTAAAGGTGAGCTTCTGTATAACGTCCTCTCACTTTTCAGTTTTTATTGGTGGTTAAGAAATGACGGGATCTATTCTGGATTCTGCCTCTGACTGGAATTAGGTAGGTAATTTGGGCCCAGATACCTCTGGTTCATTCTGTTTTTAAAACCTTTATAGGGGATAAAGCCACCTTATCTACTTCATAGGGTTTTTATTAAGGTTCAAATGAGACAAAGTACTTTAGAAAAAGAACACCGCACAATATATACATAAACTCGACTCCTTCTCAAAATTCTGTTCTGTAGGTAATATGCCAGCATCTATTTGCCACAAAGGTGAGGTTTACCGTACACCTCTTTTCAGTGAACTGTGGCTCACTAAGAGGAGTCCAGTTTCCAGACCCCAGTGCTACTCTAATGTCCTTTGTGGGCTGACTTCTGAGAACCATTCGTTACCAGTCTACACTGAGATTAAGAATTTGTACTCAAAATGTAAAACAACCACATTGCTAAGTACACTTATTATTTAGTTCAGCTGACATTTCTTTTTTTCTAACAAAACTGAAGAAAGTGGTCCAGTGATTCACACTCTGGCACAAGCATCTTATCTTGTTGTGGCCCTGCTTTGGGTAGCACTGGCCTGGACAACTTATCTCTCATTTGTGTTTATATGAGTTAGTGGAAAGACTAGTAGGAAGGGTTTCTATTGCGATAACACTCATAACAGAGTAGTAGTACTATTTTCAGTAGTAAATTCTTAACAAAGAGAACACTAAGAACAGAATCATGTAAAAAACATCCATTATTGGTTTTAAGAACAAGGGCAGAAAATGTGGAATTTTTATGAGAAAGAAATAGGCGTGTGGGGCATTGTCGTTGTATACGTGAGTTGGATTGATAATCTCCTTATACTTTTCTTGTCTTTCGAATTTATGAAAGCTTCCTAGTAGGAAAAAATAAGATTCTGGATAGTTTTTAGCTACATGAAAGTGTAAATTAAATGATTCTTTGTCAAACTATACTTCTCTTATTTGTAAGGTTTGAAATGAGATAGTAAATGAGAGTGAATCACCAAATTAAGAAGACAGGTCTCCACTCAAGGAATGTTACCCTGAAATAAAATATTTTTATATAACAATTTTTAAAATCCAGCTAGATTCATCAAAAGCAGAAATGCTTAAAACTGAGTTTCTGGGGTATATGTATGTGCCACAGTGGGGATGATGTTATGTATACATGCTTTTGATGGTATTTGTATGTGTGTGGAACTGTGTTTTATGATGGGAGGAAAATTTTACACAGTTTTAGGATACAGGACTTCAGATATATTTTATACTTTGTGTGGTAGGTAGTCTCTTTGGGCTACAACACAGTCTTTTTTTAAAAAAATATATTTATTTATTTTGCTTTAAAAATTATGGAACGCTTCACGAATTTGTGTGTCATCCTTGTGCAGGGGCCATGCTAATCTTCTCTGTATCGTTCCAAATTTAGTATACGTGCTGCCGAAGCGAGCACTACAACAGTCTTTTAGTTTAAGGTGCTTCAGTGGGAAAGTTGGTGAAGGTGACTCAGAACGTTCTTTCCTAGATATAATTTTCATGTCAGTATTTTCCAAGATCTCTCAGTCACCAGGGATACATTGATAAAGAAAGTCTTTTGATTCATCAGTTACCAGTTATGGCAACTACTAGTATGCATCTCAAAAAGTGGGAATTTGTTTATCTTATAATCAACAGTGATTTCTTTTAAGGGTTTCCCTGGTGGCTTAGCTGATAAAGATTCTGCCTGCAATGCAGTAGACCTGGGTTCGATCCCTGAGTTGGGAAGATCCCCTGGAGAGGGGAATGGCTACCTGCTCTGGTATTCTGGCCAGGAGAATTCCATGGACTGTATAGTCCAAAACCTATGAAATGCCATGTTTTTAATCCACGTTCTTATTTTTAATTTAATATAAAATGTCATGCTAAAGCTGATTAACAATACTTATTTTAGTTCCTTCTTTGAAGGCAATATTTTGCTTGAATTAAAAATTTAGGTTTTCTCTGGCAGTAGGGTCAATGTTTGTTCCATTGTTAATCTTCATGGTACTCAAAACTTCCAGAGTGGAAAATTCTCCTCCTAACTGTCAAAAAAGAGAAAAACAAATAGCCCAAAACCTAGAGTGTTTGACTATATCCTGATTATGATGACCTGTCATTATCAGTTCTTTGTAAGGAAGAATAATGTACTTGGTAAAGAACTTAGTCTTCTCATTTTCTTAAGAGTATTAGAGAAAAGCTGCAGACTGACAAGTCTTATATAGCTTTTCTGACAGCACTAAGATTTATTTCCCCTGCAGATATGATTGGGGAGTGTTTATCAGCACACTTGTGCATTGCCACCACCACATGTACACACACTATCTATCTATATGTGTGTATATTTTCTGTGTGTGTGCACACATGCACACGTGCACGTACCCGTGTTTTTTCTCACTGAATGATTCAAAACCCAGGGTCTTGAGTGAGATAGTAGGGGCAAATTGAAAGTCATACTATGGCAAACATTTCTGTGGACCACTGAAAAAAGTTAGATGACTGGCAGAATAATAATTTTGAGTTTTTCCCCAACAGTCTTTGCTTGATAAGTACTGGGCCATGTGCTTTTGATTGCTGCAGCTTTCTTCTGTTGTCTGACACTGAGAGGTGGATGTGAACTCGATAGGAAGGCTTGCATCTCTCAGATATGGGGGTGTGAGGCCTTATAAGGATTTATATTTTTTTTTATGACCTTGCCATGCAGCATGTGGGATCTTAGATCAGGGATCAAATCCATGCCCCCATGTATTGGGAGCATAGAGTCTTAGCCACTGGACTGCCCAGGAAGTCTCAGGATTCTTTAAATTATCATTTATTGATAATGAATCTCTCACCTTTCCTGTTTTGCCTGTGCTGCAAGTACAGGGGGAGGATGCATGTTTAGGGAGTCTGAAGTTGATACTCACAACTTCATTAGAGAAATCAAGGACATTGAAATTGATAGCAAAGATACTCTGAGTAACTTGAGTCTTAGGCTCCAGCTTCAGACTCAGCTTTCCTTGGCCACACACTGATTTGAGAGGAGCAGATGGGGGATTCATTCATTATGGGGAATGGGAGGGAAATTATTTTAAAACTTGAGTCCTGGAAAAGGTTGTGCTTTCGAGGTCTTGACTGCCGACCCCTACCTCCTCACTTTTCTTTCTGAAATATTGCTGATAGCTCTGCGGTCTGTGCTTTTTTGGTTTTTATTTTTGCATTGATGGTTTTTGTAGCCTTGTTGCCAACTGAAATTTAGAAGTAACTTTGTGTTTTACATGTCTAATCCCTAATCCTTGATTGCTGCTAGCATTGAACCATATATATGTTCTGTGACAGACTCTTTTGAGGAAAAAATTAATTTCATTTTTTTTTTGAGGCGTGAGACCATGTCGTATTCCAGACATTTGAATAACCTTTTAATCTTTATGTGCTACCTTAGTTACATATATGGAGTTTCCTGTAGTATAAAAGCTTTTGAAACCCTATCGATAATACCAGAAAAACATTTCTAAGTATGCTTCTTTTGTTTAAGCTATAAGCTAAAAATATCAATCAGGCTATGATGCTAGCAAAATTCATTTTCATTACTTTAAAAAAAATTGTTTTGGTTTAAAAGTTCTTGATTCATTTTTTCAGTGAATTTCAAGCTTGACAGTAGACTACTTCTGTTTGAAATAAAGTCTTACATCTTTTCTTTCACTCTGTGATGATCTCCTGGCCAGGTGAAAAGCTCCGAGTCCTTGGTTACAACCAGAATGGTGAGTGGAGTGAAGTTCGCTCTAAGAATGGCCAAGGCTGGGTGCCAAGCAACTACATCACCCCTGTGAACAGCCTGGAGAAACATTCCTGGTACCATGGACCTGTGTCCCGGAGTGCAGCGGAGTACCTACTCAGCAGTCTCATCAATGGCAGCTTCCTGGTTCGAGAGAGCGAGAGCAGCCCCGGGCAGCTGTCAATCTCGCTCAGGTACGAGGGGCGTGTGTATCACTACAGGATCAACACCACCGCAGATGGCCAGGTAAGACTGGCCGGCAACCACCTCTTGGTGTGAATGGGCCTGCTCTTTAGAAACAATGTTCAGGATGACTAAAGAGTATAATTTTTATGTCTGACATGAAAGAAACTAATCACTGATGTGAGTTTGAGCTGTTTGGCATGTGAGAGAGAGATTATTCTTTTCAAAACAATTCAGTAATGGAAATTAAAAACAGTATTACTTTAAGAGTTTAAAGATGAGCTAGATTTGAAGGTGAAAAATGAAGGAAACAGCTGTATAAGTTAACTGTTACCATCATCATCAGTATACGGATATGCACATGCACATCCAATACATGTGTGGAATTTTATAAATTAAACCTTGTATCTATGAAAATTATAATAATCTCTACCAGAAAGTTTAAAGAGTAAAACTTTAGGCTTCTGAGACAGATGTTGATCATTAATGTATGTTAATGTAAATAGGTCAATCAATCATTTAGCACTTTGTAGGCTCGAAACACCAACTGTGTAAGAATGGCTGTGTTAGAATGGAACTGTCTTACTTTATAAACGGTAAAGCATAGGTTTATGTCAGTTCTTCTATTGAACAGTAAATTTATAGTTATGACGTGCAGGCTAAGTTGCTCTGTGGCCTGTGGGATCTTAGTTCCCCGACCAGGGATTGAACCCACATTGCCTGCATTGCAAGGTAGATTCTTAAGTATTGGACCACCAGGGAAGTCCTTGAAAAATAAATTTATTTATTTTTTATTTTATTTTATTTATTTATTTTTTCCTCCCAATTATTTTTATTCGTTGGAGGCTAATTACTTTACAATATTGTAGTGGTTTTTGCCATACAGTGACATGAATCAGTCATGGATTTTCATGTGTTCCCCATCCTGAACCCCCCTCCGACCTCCCTCCCCACCCGATCCCTCTGGGTCATCCCAGTGCACCAGCCCTGAGCACTTGTCTCATGCATCCAACCTGGACTGGCGATCTGTTTCACACTTGATAATATACATGTTTCTATTCTTTTTAATGGCTGAGTAGTATTCCATGGTGTATATGTACCACAGCTTTCTTATCCATTCGTTTGTGATGGGCATCTAGGTTGCTTCCATGTCCTGGCTATTATAAACTGCTGCGATGAACATTGGGGTATACGTGTCTCTTTCAGATCTGGTTTTCTTGGTGTGTATGCCCAGGAGTGGGATTGCTGGGTCGTATGGCAGTTCTATTTCCAGTGTTTTAAGGAATTTCCACACTGTGAGCAATAAATTTAGATTGAATTGTTTCTTCCACTCTTTCTCTCTTTGTGATATGAATAGTAGGGGGAAAGCATAGGCTTTAGAGCAAGCAAATCTGGTTTGCTGGGTAACCCCATCATTTATTCACGTTGTGACCTTACTTAAGCCTCAGTTTCCCATCCCATTTTATTGGAAGCATTCAGTGAGATAATTTCCATAAAAGATAATGGCTGGTAAAAGGTAGGAAGCAGTAAATGATTAATTTTCTTTGCATCACCTTATAAGACATATTTTTTCTTCGTGAAGCCAAACAGAATCAGATAAGTGATGATATAAGGGCCACTCAGCAGATCTACTTTTGGTTGTCTTCCCAACAGAAGTGAGAGCTTGTGTATTCAGCAGACATGTTCAGGAGTGTTCATAGCAGAGTTACGTGTAGTAGCCAGAAACTAGAAACACCCAACTGTCTGCCAGCTGTGGACTGAGTTAATAAACTGTGGTATATTTGTAAAATGGAATCTCATACAAAGTGAACCTGGTACTGCTACACACACTACTAGGAAAAACTGTGACCCACTGGCTGCCTACTTTTGTAAATAAAATTGTATTGGAATGCAGATACACCATTTGTTTATGTATTCTCTATGGCTGCTTTCTCAATATTACAGCAGACTTGAGTAATGACAGAAATGCTGTGGCCACAAACCTGAAATATTTATTATCCGGCCCTCTAGAACAGTCATAGATGAATCTCTTACACATCAAGTTGAGTAGAATGGATTAGTGATTACTGAGGAATGGGATGAGGGGAGTGGGAATGACCTCTAATGGGTCTGGGGTTTCTTTGTAGGGTGATGAAAATGTTCCGAAATTAGTGGTAATGGTTGGACAGTCAATGCATTTATTAAAAATCACTGTATTGCACAACTGAAATTGTGAATTTTGTGGTGAAATATACGAATTATATCACAGTAAAAAAAGTTGGGTGAAAGAAAACAGGCACAAAACAATACTTAATGTGTGATTCCATTTGAATAGGTACAGTTCACAATCTAAGCTAATCTAAGGTGTTAGAAGTCAGCAGAGTGGTTACCTTTGCAGGGGTCAGTAGCTGGGAGGCAGGAGGGAGCCTGCTGGGTGCTGGTAATACTATAATTCTCTTGTGTGGGAGATGTTTATCATGGGTGAGTTCACTTTATAGAACTCATCGGTTCTCCATTTATTCATTGTATGCTCTTCTGTATACACTAGAAATCTCTTTTTTAAAAAATAAACAAGCTCCCTTGGAAGATAAGGCTCAGAGACTGCTATCCTACTTTATCCTTCTTCTTGCTTATCACAAATTAACTACTGTTTTGTTTACTTTCTGAAATAAAATTGTGGCTCTTTTTCAAAAATTGCTTGGACACTCAAATAAAATGAAATAAAAATCATAAGATATTTGAATCCTTCTCTCTACCAAAAAAATTAAAATCAGTGGTTTTCAAATTATGTTCTGTGTAAGATTCTGAGGTGGGAGTTCATAAATTTTACAGGAAGCCAGTCCCCTCTTACCTACCTGAATCAGCACTTCTCTTTCTTTATCTTCTATATTTGGGTTCCTTAGTTGTTCAGCTTAAAAATATTTGAAGAACAGTGATCTTGATGATCCAGAGAGATAGAAGCTTTTCCCCTTGAGACTTGAGCTACTTTAGGAATCATAAGAAGAGTAGTTTAAAGGAGATTAAACTGAAGTTCTCTGGCTGCCCCACTCCACCCAGCCCCCCACCATCATGGTTAAATTCTTCCGTAATTCTTCCATTTATCTCAGTAAGATAACGCCTTATTTTCATCTTTTTTTTAAAATCAGCATTTTAAAAATTGAAGCATAGTTGGTTTCCAATGTTGTGTTAATGTGTGCTATACAGCATAGTGATTCAGTTATACATACGTCTACATTCTTTTTATATTATTTTCTATTATGATTTATCATGGAATATTGAATATAGTTCTCCACGCTATAAGTAGGACCTTGTTGTTTATCCGTTCTGTATATAACAGTTTGCATCTGCTATCCCCAGCACCCCTTCTATCCCTTCCCCGACCCCCTCCCTCTTGGCAACCTCCAGTCTGTTCTGTGATTTTCTGTTTCATAGATAAGTTCATTTGTGTCATATTTTAGATTCCACATATAAGTGATATCATATGGTGTTTGTCTTTCTCTTTCTGACTGACTTCACGTAGTATGATAGTCTCTAGTTGCATTCATGTTGCTGTGAATGGCATTATTTTGTTCTTTTTTATGGCTGAGTAATATTCCATTGCTACACACACACCCCACATCATCTTTATCTGTCGATGGACATTTAGGTTGTTTCCGTGTTTTGGCTATTGTGAATAATGCTGCTTATTTCATATCTTGAGACCAGTGAGATCAGGATCCCTCTTCAGTTGGTTTATATTTCTCCGCTCTCCTCACCAGGTGTATGTAACTGCTGAGAGCCGCTTCAGCACTTTGGCCGAGCTTGTTCACCATCACTCCACGGTGGCTGATGGGCTGGTGACAACACTACACTATCCAGCGCCCAAGTGTAATAAGCCTACAGTCTATGGTGTGTCCCCCATCCATGACAAATGGGAAATGGAACGAACAGACATTACCATGAAGCACAAACTTGGGGGTGGTCAGTACGGAGAGGTTTACGTTGGCGTCTGGAAGAAATACAGCCTTACGGTTGCTGTGAAAACATTGAAGGTGGGTTGCTGAGAATTACAGTTTTCAGGAGTCTTTTTCTTTTGTGCTGAATCACTTGGAAATACCAGTGTGCCCTTCTTTAACTTTGGAACACTTTCCACCCACTGGTGCCAAGCACATCAGCAAATTGTGATAATTAACCCTGGTGCCATTGCTGACAATGCAGGGGCAGATTATTCACTGCAACGCAGTGAAACCCACATGTGGGGAAGGTTTGTCTCTGGAGGCTGTTGATACAGATCTTGGTGGGAGGTTAGAAGCAAATTATAACTTGTGAAAGCAAAGCAAGCTGTTTTCCTTCCTCAGAATAACCCCTGCTGGGCAGAATTCTCCATGCATTGTTGGAGAATCACTCTCTTGTTCTGTCCTTTGTCTCCCTGCTGCTTGTTTCTCCCATCTCCCTGAGATTAGATCACCTTATTCTTCATATTCACACAAATCTTCCTGATGCCAGCCTCTCTCTCTCCTTTAAGCATCCTGGTAGCGAATTATAAGTTTTGTCATTCATCCCATTCTCTGAAGATTTTCTCATATGCCTCAGTAACTCTGGAAGACTCCTAAGGACTGCTCTTCACCTCTGAGTTGTAGTCAGTTCTTCTACCAAGCATTTATTAAGCGCTTGGTCTGAGTGTGAACCAGTCTGCGCAGCCTTGCAGACACACCTTGCTCCTTAAGGAATTTGTCAGCAAGACAAATATGTAAACAGCTAATTGTTCTGGCTCCTCTTTCAAAGGCTTGAGCTATCCAGAAAGAATCTTTTCAGAGAATTGAATTGTCTATCCAGGTCTTTTGTGTTTCAGTTGTGCTAGAACATGATTGCTGAATTTTACTTACCCTACTAAATTTTACTTCAGTTTCAAATACTGAATAAATTAAAGGAGACATTTTTCTTTCTTAATTGGACTTATACAGAGCACACTATGCAGCAATAAAATTTCTTGAAGTAAGTGCTAAAATATCCAAAAGATACCCCCTTTTAAAACTGAAGTTTTAGGAGTGTGAGTTGACTCAAATGATTAAGGTGGGGGCTTGTCCCTCTCCTCTTTTTCTATCTTATCTTCCCCCCTTTCCAGGAAGATACTATGGAGGTGGAGGAATTTCTCAAGGAAGCTGCAGTGATGAAGGAAATCAAGCATCCTAACCTGGTACAGCTATTAGGTGAGGCAGCGTGTCTGAACCATAGGTTTCCTCAAAGATGCTTGTCTCCCAACCCTCTGCTGTCCCCCAATCCTCCTTTTGTATCACCATGGCAGAAGCTCTCAGTGTAAATCTATTTCAATAAATGGCTGTTATTTTAATCAGCAGTCTCTGTGTTTTAAAATTACCCAAGAAACAGTGACCGGGATTGATTGCAGTATATGGAACTGCCCAGCTTCTGTTGATTGCCCAGATCCAAAGTTCAGAATCATTCAAATGATACTAAACCCCAAACTATCCCAAAATATTTTTTACAAAATAAAGAGACATTAAGCAAAGGACTGTTGAAAAGAAACAGATTAAAAATTGTGACCACCCAAGTGCTTTGGAGGGATTGATAGGCTTCTCACCTATTCAGGTCACAGAGAAATCTTTGACTGAAACAATTGCCCTTTTTAAAAGTAGGGCCAGTTTCTTTGGGTGTTCATTGAGCCAAACTATCCCAAAGGAAATCGCTTCTTTTGGATTTTTACTGGGAGTCTGCTGTGTGTAATGAAATCCTTGCAGTCTGGGCTCACATATAGTCTTTACCGTGTGAACAGTTGCAGTTACTTTTAGATAAACATTGTCAGCAGGAGGCAGTTGAGGATGTGAAATCATGGGCACATACAGAACTCTAGAGGTATTGGTGGTCCTGACCCCTTATGGAATTAATACAAGTAACTCTGCCTTTCTTCAAACAGGCATATTCTCAAAATGCATGTGAATTTCCAGAGCATGGTATCATTGGAAGTAGAAACTCACTGTCATCCAGCTTCTTAACGTTGCTGTGTTCTTTTCAGAGAATGAAATGGCAGGAAAGGAAAAGATTACTGCTGGACTAGCTTCTAAAAAGTTGTCAGTTATTCTTGCCAAAGTGGTTGGAGTGTTTAAATACATACTGATAAAACAAGCTCTCTTTGAACTATCAGGTGTGTGTACCTTGGAGCCACCATTTTACATTGTGACTGAATACATGCCTTATGGGAACTTGCTTGATTATCTCCGAGAATGCAACAGAGAAGAGGTGACTGCAGTTGTACTGCTTTACATGGCCACTCAGATCTCTTCTGCAATGGAGTATTTAGAGAAGAAGAATTTCATCCATAGGTGTGTAAAACCCGATTATCACCTGTGACTAACCAGGAAGCTGACATGCATATCCGATAACTCAGGAAAGTAGTTTTCTCTTTTCACAAGGACCACTGTAATGTCATTTCCAACTTAGAAACCTACTGTGTCCTCTGATTAAAGTACTAACTCAGGGCTTTTGCTGTTCTCAGAACAGAAGGCTCTTTATTTTGCCCAGAACTAAGTCCAAGATCATTTTGCTCCATCTAGTGGCTTGATTTTAAAAATAGTTTTCTGTCTTAGTAAAGAAACTAAAACCTCTGTTACCCACCTCTGAAACCTATCCTAATGCACTTATAAATAGGAACTGGTTTTCTGAAGCCTGCTTTGTTGTGGCATCACATAACTGCCTCTTGGTGAGTATTCTACAAGAGATGTATAATTAGTGGCTTTCTACCATGTTAGCAATTTTCGTGAAATACTACCATACCTGTCAGCACTTACTTATCAAACTCTGCTTGTAGCACAAAGAACTGATAATAGAGCATTCATGACCATTTTCCAGAACCATCTGAATAGAATCACAGTAGGGTTTCTTTCCCACAGGGATCTTGCAGCTCGTAACTGCCTGGTGGGAGAAAACCATGTGGTAAAAGTGGCTGACTTTGGCTTAAGTAGATTGATGACTGGAGACACCTATACTGCTCACGCTGGAGCCAAATTTCCTATTAAATGGACAGCACCAGAGAGTCTTGCCTACAATACCTTCTCAATTAAATCTGACGTCTGGGGTAAGGTTGGAAGGGACGTTTTTCTGTGTCATTTTCTTTATACATCAATGCTTAATTTTTTAGAGCTGGTTTTTTTGTATATGATCAGTATCCTCTGCCTTTACACCCATTCTTCTTCAGTTAATCAGCAGGCATTTATTATTAATAAGTACTATCTGCTGGGCATTTGCAGGGTACTTAGTGTAGAAAGAAACTGTAAAGAATAAAGTTTAAAAAGTCCCTGCCTTGGGAGCACTCACAGTCTAGATACTATATTGCACTGAAGTTCTAATGATCCTCTCTATAAAGCTCCCTGTTTTCTACATTAGACTTTATTGCTTGTATCTAGAGCACTGTGACACAGAGTGGTAACCTCTTTTCAAGGAAGGCATGGTGAAGTTTTATCTAGAATTTGTCCTTGTAACTGATCTTGTTTCTGCTGCCCTGAAAAGGAATATTATTTAGTAGAGACTTGAGGGGATTTTGGGCAGTAGAAATAGTTGAGAATGCTAGATCATGTTTTACCAGCAATCTCAAACTCAAGAGTAACCTGTGACAGAATCAAGCAAATTCTTTCTTCACATGTGAATTTTATTTGATTTCAAATGTGTTCATTTTTATATTCTTCCTTTAGTGACTTAAAAATTGTGCAACTCATTAAATAGATTGTAAATTGCTTTAAGAATAGTTTTGATTATGCCCCAGACTTCTTATATGGTCCTAGATTATTCTCCCTCATTGTAAAGGAAATTCAAATAAAAATTGGGAAATTTATTTATGTGTTTATTTTGGTTGTATCTTATGTGGCCCTTAGTTCCCTGACTAGGGATTGAACCTGCACCCCCTGCTGTGAGAGCATGGAGTCTTAACTACCGGACCACCAGGGAAGTCCCCAGACTTGGGAAATACAAAGAAAACTGTCTTTAGATTATACCTAAACTTTTCCTGTGAAAAATATCTTAGAAGAACAAGTCACCTTTTAAGAATTATAAGAGTTACTAATGTAACATTGTGAAAATTTGAATGAGAAGTTACCTAATGATGTAAATGATAAATCAGAAGAAACATAAAAGCTCTTTTTTAAAAATCCCTTCTGCAGCATTTGGGGTGCTCTTATGGGAAATTGCTACATATGGAATGTCACCATATCCAGGTATTGACCTGTCTCAGGTCTATGATCTACTGGAAAAAGGATATAGAATGGAACAGCCTGAAGGATGTCCCCCTAAGGTGTATGAACTTATGAGAGCATGTGAGTATTCTTGCATATTTTAATTTTGAAGTAGTTTAATTCAGGATGATTAACAAAATTGAAAACATTTTTCCTATCAGTGTTTTAAGATTGTATTCAGCCTCATGACATAGAGTTGGTCACTGATCAACCAGTTGGGATACTGTGTGCTGTACTACTGAGTCATACTGGAATCCTAAGAATCATTGTCCATGGCCCAAACACTCACTCAGTTTCCCAAAACATTTGCATGTATGATAAGATAATGAAAAATGGATTTGGAGATTAGGTTGGGGAGGGTTGCTGTCAGCTACACAAAATGAGTGTTGAAGACGAGAATGCATGAAAGTGACTTCTGTGATGTGTAAACAAGAGCATCTGACTACTTAAAGATGAAAAAGTAGGGAGGTGAATTGTGAATTAAACTGCAATGTATTTGAGTCTCATTATTTTCTCATTGAGCATTGATTGCCTACTGGTCTTGTCAAATGGGAATTCCAAACTCCCCTTTTCTGATACACTGTTATGTTTTGGAATGTGTACAACTAATTGTGAGTGAGTGAGTAGACAGATTTTACTACTTCTCATTCTTCCAATGGAAGAAGACTTTTCTAAACCATCTCCCCACCCGCTCTGCATCCCTCTAGTGGAGGGAAGAGGAGCTGAGACGGCATAGAAGGACTGGCCCTAGGACTTGGGTTCATCACACCTCTGGGCTGAAACTAAGAATTAGCTGCCCCACTGTCACTGCGGACTTGTTCTAACTGTGCTTTAGCTAGCACATGTCCCAGTGCTTGGAACTTACCCTCAGGTGTGCCCTGAATATTTAATTTCTGCCAAGAAGCTTTTACTACTGTTCTTTTTTGGTTACATAGGCTGGAAGTGGAGCCCTGCTGACAGGCCCTCATTTGCTGAAACACATCAAGCTTTTGAAACCATGTTCCATGACTCTAGCATTTCTGAAGGTGAGAACCTGGTGATTTACTGTTGGTGGGGGCTAGTTCTGGGTGCTGGGGATGATAACATTCCAAAAATGATAGTGTCTTATAATTTGGGACTCCATTTCAGGATATTGAATTGATTCTTGGCCTTTGTTATTGTTTTACTTTTTCTTTTTTTTTCTTTTGCTGTTTTAAAATGTATCTTTGTCTCTCTAGCTCATATTTTTAATGTTGAGATATTTTAGGAGTATGAACAAAGATTTAGCAGTAAGGGTGTTACTTCAGAGTGTAGTTTATAATACTGAAAAACAAAGACCATTTAAGTATCCAGTATGTTAATTATTATATCCCTATAATTGAGTAGTTTATATTCTTAAATATATTGACACAGGAGTTTAGAATGAGAATGTTAAATAAGCTAAGCTGTGAACAGTGAGAATCTTTTTCTTATGTAGAAAACAAGTATATGGACACATACAAGAAGTTTCCTACTTTTGTGTATAATGCCTCTTTAAAATTATATGCAGAAGTCAAACAGTACATGTACTTGTTGGGACTTCCCTGCTGGTCCAGTGGCTAAGACTGTGAGCTCCCAATGCAGGGGACCCGGGTTGGATCCCTGGTCAGGAAACTAGATCCATTGTGCCGCACCTAAGAATTTGCATGCTGTAATTAAAGATCCCACATGTCTCACTGAAGATCAAAGATCCTGCTGCTGCACCTAAGACCTGGTGAGGCTAAGTAAAAATCAATACTGAACAGATTAAATGCCCAGTCAGAAAATAAATAAACTTACTTCTTAGGAAGAGAGAGACTGGACTTCCCAGGTGATCCAGTGGTTGAGAATCTGCCTGCCAATGCAGAGGACATGAGTTCCATCCCTGGTCTCGGAAGCTTCCATATGTTGGGGGGCAGCTGAGCCTACGCGCCATAACTGCTGAAGCCTGTGTGCTCAGAGCCCACACTCTGCAACAAGAGGAGCCACCACATGAGGAGCCCGCACGCTGCAAGTAGAGAGTAGCTGCCACTCACCGCAATCAGAGGATGCCTGAGAGCAGCAGAAGACCCAGCGCAGCCAAAATGAATAAATAAAATTAAAAAGATAGAAGGGCTCTTCCTTGAGAGAGCTAAAAACACAATTCTGAGTTATACTTGCATATTAGACATTTTGGTGTAGTTCCAGATTTGTATACATGTTTTTTCAAATTTTTCTTTTTCTTCATAATTGAACAGAGCACTCACTACTTAATTTCAAGTTAAAAAATGTTTGAAGAAGAAATTAGGCAAGTTGATTTTTTTTCCTGCTTCCTTTAGTGATTTATCGTGTTTTCCTGAGCAGAAAAGGAAAAGTACACCACCAGAGTTTAATGACAAGTATTTCCATCCTCGTCCTTCTATATATGGAACTTTTACAGGTTGGGGAGGGCACAGCTCGCCCTCTGGGCCAGATTAAGCAGCTTCCTGTCACAGCACTTTTCTCTACCCTTTAGTTCATGTGGAGTCAAATCCTGAGTATCATTGGAATCTCACTGGCATGGCTTGAATTAATTATGTGCTATGTACTCACACTTGTGGGGGATCAATTTTGAAAAATAATTACCAAAAATGTTGTAAATTACAAAATTCCAGTGTTTGATCCATACTTCATTTTTGTTCAGGAATGAATAGTAAAGTGAGTCTTTGTCTTATTAAAAGCCACAAAACCTATGGCCACTTTTAATCAGCTGAGGCTTACTAATAGGGTGAACACATTTTCAGGAGCCTCATTTGCTTCATTGGCATGAAATGAATTGTATATAGCCCCTCCCCCCCTTTTTTGCAAGGCACAACCTAAAAATAAAAATATCTGCAGATAGCTATTTGCTTTGTTCAACCTCTGAATAAGCACTTAGTAAATAAGGATATCCAATTGAATGGTGAGCATGTGAAATCATGGATCATCAGAGAAGTACAAAATAAAACAATGAATGGCCACTACACACCTACCTCAGGAACGCCAAAGTTAAAATCAGACGAACAAACATCAAACTTTGGCAAGCATGTGTAGTAACCAAAACTTTCCTATAAGTTAGTGGGCATGCAGATTGGGACAGCTAGTTTGGGAAGGCAGTTTGGCCCTGTGACCCACTGGTCCTGCTCCTGTATCTAGCACACGTGCATACCATTGTTGCAGTCAAAGACACACAGTAGGATGTTTCTGGCAGTATATTCATAACAGCCCCAAACCGGAAACAACACTCTTTAAGAGGAGAATGGATGAATTTGGTGTATTCACATATTTGAACAATACACAGCGACAGGAAAACCCCCCTCCATATTCAGTAACATGGATGAGTCTACAGCTAGAATGCTGAGCAAAAGTAAGCCCAGGCTGCAAGGGTACATACTTTGTGACTCCACTTACACGTTTTAGTACTCCATTCTTCAGGTCCTCTCAGTTGTCTGCCTTTTCTCTTTTTTGTCATGAAATTGTTCTTTTTATCGTTGCCCGTCCTCCACACAGAGGTTGCTGAGGAGCTTGGGCGGGCCGCCGCCGCCTCTTCTGTGGTTCCGTATCTGCCCCGATTGCCTCTACTTCCTTCCAAGACCCGGACGCTGAAGAAGCAGGGGGAGAACAAGGAGAACATTGAGGGGGCACAAGATGCCGCAGAGAATTCTGCTTCCAGTTCAGCACCAGGTACGGGTCCGCAGGGAGGAGGAGGCATGCTGCCTTGTCTGAGAGCCGTGGGGTGTGAAGTTTTTCCTTCCACTTTCCTGCCCGTCTTCCTCACGGAAAAGTGTGGCGGGCATCTGCTTTATTTACCACTCTAGTCCTCGGCCCTGCATTGCCAGTGTTAGTAGTCGTGATCACACAACTCTGCCTCCCACTCCTGATTCTCAAATAGTTGCAGTCCTTATGGTTCTGGCAAAAATTTCCTCACTGAGTCTGATAGGTGAAACCAGGTTGTGCTGCAGTTGCTAGAGAAACGACGGATGCTGAGGTAAAAGCCAGCAGGTTTATTTTTTTCCATTTATATGTCACATCACATTTGGAACAGCAGTGTGACATGATAATGTATTAATTCGTTTTCTGAGTCCTGCTAACACTTGACTTTTAATAGATGCCAACAACACTCTTCACAGTCCAGCCTTAGTAACTCAGGCGAGTCACTTACTTTTCACAATACTGATTGGCTGTTCTTTTTTAAATCAGGGTTCATTAGAAGTGCACAGGCTCCCAGTGGGTCCCCAGCACTGCCTCGAAAGCAGAGAGACAAGTCACCCAGCAGCCTCTTGGAAGACGCCAAAGAGACATGCTTCACCAGAGATAGGAAGGGAGGCTTCTTCAGCTCCTTTATGAAAAAGAGAAACGCTCCCACACCCCCCAAACGCAGCAGCTCCTTCCGAGAAATGGAGAACCAGCCCCACAAGAAATACGAACTGACGGGTAACTTCTCATCTGTTGCTTCTCTGCAGCATGCTGAAGGGTTCTCTCTCACTCCCGCCCAGCAAGAAGCGAGTCTGGCACCACCCAAGTGCTATGGGGGTAGCTTTGCACAGAGGAACCTCTGTAATGACGACGGTGGTGGGGGTGGGGGCAGTGGCGCTGCTGGGGGCGGGTGGTCTGGCATTACAGGCTTCTTTACACCACGCTTAATCAAAAAGACACTGGGCTTACGAGCAGGTAAACCCACAGCCAGTGATGACACTTCCAAGCCTTTTCCAAGGTCAAACTCTACATCTTCCATGTCCTCAGGGCTTCCAGAGCAGGATAGGATGGCAATGACCCTTCCCAGGAACTGCCAGAGGTCCAAACTCCAGCTGGAAAGGACAGTGTCCACCTCTTCTCAGCCAGAAGAGAATGTGGACAGGGCCAATGACACGCTTCCAAAAAAATCAGAGGAAGGTGCCGCGCCGACCAGGGAGAGACCAAAAGCCAAACTTTTGCCCAGAGGAGGCACCGGTCTTCCTCTCAGAACCCCCTCTGGGGATCCAGCCACTACAGAGAAGGATTCTCCAGGGTTGGGGGTGGCTGGAGTGGCAGCTGCCCCCAAGAGCAAGGAGAGGAATGGTGGGGCACGACTTGGCATGGCTGGAGTCCCAGAGGATGGCGAGCAGGCCGGCTGGGCTTCTCCAGCCAAGACTGCTGCGGTCCTCCCGACCACTCATAACCACAAAGTGCCCGTCCTTATCTCGCCCACTCTGAAGCACACTCCAGCTGACGTGCAGCTCATTGGCACAGACTCTCAGGGGAATAAATTCAAGCTCTTATCAGAGCATCAGGTCACTTCCTCTGGAGACAAGGACCGACCCCGCCGGGTAAAACCAAAGTGTGCCCCACCCCCACCACCAGTGATGAGACTACTGCAGCATCCGTCCGTGTGCTCAGACTCCACGGAAGAGCTGATCGCCCCGACTGCAGTCCAGCCCAAGTCAGAAACACAAGAGGGGGGGAAAAAGGCGGCTCCAGGGGCGGTGCCCATCAGTGGGAAAGCTGGGAGGCCTGTGATGCCTCCACCTCAAGTGCCTCTGCCCACATCTTCCATCTCGCCAGCCAAAATGGCCAATGGCACAGCAGGTACTAAAGTAGCTCTGAGAAAAACCAAACAGGTGGCCGAAAAAATCTCAGCCGACAAAATCAGCAAGGAGGCCCTGCTGGAATGTGCAGACCTACTGTCCAGTGCAATCACGGAACCTGTGCCCAACAGCCAGCTGGTGGACACTGGCCACCAGCTGCTCGACTACTGCTCAGGCTATGTGGACTGCATCCCCCAAACTCGCAACAAATTTGCCTTCCGAGAGGCTGTGAGCAAACTGGAACTCAGCCTGCAGGAGCTGCAGGTGTCTTGCACAGCCGCTGGCGTGCCCGGGGCAAACCCTGTCCTTAACAACTTACTGTCATGTGTGCAGGAAATCAGTGATGTGGTGCAGAGGTAGCCACTGGTAGCCACGTGGGAAGGTGCACATGTTGCTGAGCGGAGAGGGAAAGGGACTTGTTTTACTTGTGTTGTTTCAGAAAATGGAAGACTGATACTTGAGTGTGTTTCTGTGAAGTACCTCAGATCTCTGAGTTCTCACGTTTACAGGTTCATCTCAAAAATAACAAAAAGCAAAATCCATAGGAGAGAGGGAAAATAGATGGGGGCAGGACAGTCGTGGGCCAAATCAGAAGCTGCACTGAAGCATCAGGGACATGTGCCTGTCGAGCTATGAAGGACCGAGTCCAGCCCGTCCTTACCTGGAGTGATGTGAGCTGGCCGAACAGGGCCGTCCAGCGAGGCCACAGGGCCTGTGCCCAGACAGCGGGGTGGCTGTGGCCCTCACTTTGCCCCGCATGGAAGGGAATTGACTAGGGGCTCCAGGAGGTACTAGTGGTACTGATCTCAGTGAGTGGGTGGGGACGTGCCAGGAGGTTTTGTTCAAGGCTGTTGGAAGCTGCTGTTAGCCTAGCCCCTACAAAGTCACGGCTGTAGTAAGAGCTGCAGATCAGATGGCTCGATGCAAAACTGGGAAACATGGCCCTGTCTGTACACACCTGTCCTGTTGTCTGTCGGTGTGTTAGTTGGTGCCGGAGGTAGAGAAAGCCAGGATGTGTGTTCAGAGAGATTGAAACCGCCTCCTCCGTTGTATACTGCCCAGCAGAAGCCACTTCTTCCGGCTGGTGTATGATTTCATAATGGATGAGGATGGGCTTTGTGCTCATTGGTGCCTATCTGTGATCCATAGGCATAGTGGGTCTCTGATGGTTTTTCTCTGCCCCTTGTTGGGCAGGCTGTCTTCCTCTGTTCCTGGCGGCATTCAGGGCATTAACCAGCATTGAACACTATTGAAAATAATGGTCCTGGACAGGGCTCCCAGGGGAGTCCCTGCATACTGACATACTGGCCAAGGACTTGAGCAGCTGTGTGTGTTTCTTTATCAACTAAAGTGCCAGGGAAAGGGTGTCGTCTTGAAACCCAGCATTCAGCCCAGGAGCCTGTGACTGAGGGGAGAAGCTAGCTTGGTCCTGATGACTCTTCCTCTGTACCTTTCCTCTCCCTCTTAGACCCAATCCTGGTAGAGTGGGGAGAAGCGTTCTCACCCTGTGCGGATCTCAAATGAATCACCCTAAGTTATTGTCACGTGCTTTTCTTCTTTCACTGACTCCCCCTGCCAATTGTTGTGCTTGTTTGTAAAGATCATATTGGAAATATTCTTTGATATTTATTTTTTCATTTCACCTATATTTAAAAATGCATAATTGAAGGAGCAGGTCATTTTCAGGGGATGCCAATTAGATCCTGGAAACCTAATGGTTCCTCTTCCTTCCCTATTCAGTTATTGTTACAGAAAATTAGGATCACTTCTGAATTTAGAACCAAATCTAATTGGTTAGATGTTATTAATACTCTAGATACCAGGTCTAAGTCCAGTGACCACTTCATTCTCTTTTTAAAACTTTATGCCCCCTCCATTCCTGCCTCCAAAGAGAATGTAATATTTTTAAAAAACTCTTTATTTTTTCTTCCCAAAGGAATATTAACTTAGGAAGATAGGAATTCAACACTGATGAACAGTGAGTTTTCTTCCTGGCTCTGTCATTGATCCACTGTCAGCCCCATAGCCCCTTCTCTTAATCTGTTAAATGGAGGTAATGATACATGTTCTCAAGGGTGTTTTGCAAATAAGTGTATAGTTATCCCTTTGAGAGCCTCTCTGGAAAGCTCTTTAGTGCAGTATTGTTATGTGTGAATACACATCTTTCTTTCTCCTTTTTCATCATCTTTGCTTGGTAGCAGATAATGAAATTTAAAACTGCTGAGATTATACTAATCAGGCTAAGGGGAAAAATGGTTTTGGACAGAGTTTGGCATCTTTGACCAAGGAGAAATTTTAGTTTTCATTAGAAAGAAAGGAATTGATTCTTTCTATGGGTGTTCCAGAGGAGTCCCAGGCCAAGAGAAGAAAAAGCAGGGAGGAGACAGTATTGGGCATTCCTTTCAGGGGTTGGGTGATCCCTCTGACTGTTACTTGTTGGTGGAACATGGGCAACCAGAGAGCTGGCTAATCTCTTTGTAATGTTTGGAAGAGTTCCCTTTAACTTGGGTTTGAAAACCATCAGTCCTCCGGCCACCTTCTTCTTTGCCACTCTCCTTCTTCATATACTTCCATAAACTTGAAATTGTTTTAGCAGTTAGCCTTTTAAGGGTGAGGCAGGGAAAGCTAAAACTTTAGAATATTATGCTGCTTTTTAAGTTTATCCCTGTCATTGTGGATGCAAGTTGAGGGATTAGAATCGTTTTTCAGGGGATTGATTTTATTCTTTCTTTCTTTTATTTTAAAGCAAGGGGTCTTTCCTTGAGAGCTCTGAAAATAAGCCTTGGAGGAACACTACTGAGTGTATTTAAGCTCCCTGGTTTTCTCACCGAAGAGCAGTCTTTGAGGGTGAGGGCTGGGTCTTACTCAGGGGTAGCACCTGGCTCTGTCTCATTCATAGTAGGTGCTCAGTATCCACGAATGGATTCTTTTTTTCTTTTCTCAACACTGTCAAGAGTAGCATTGACTGTTGCAGCACACTCCATCCACATGATGCTTTAACTGTAATTTCAGGAGTTGAGGGCTCAGGGTTCGGGTTAAAGAGACACTGTCAACTTACTATAAAAATGTAACTTAGGTTTTTTTCCTTTTTCTCCTCGAAAGGGACCAGATTTTTTAAAAACTAACCGTATATAAATTTAAACATTTGAATTCAAGGAAGAGAAATCTACGTTTAGAAACTAAAAATGTAGTTTAATTCTGTCTAGTTTAAAAACAAAGCAGACAGCAGGAGCAAAAGCCCTTCTACAAGGTGTTGAAAACTTGTGGTTGTATGTGCGCATCCCTTTGGGGTTACCACAGATTGAATCTTCTCATGTACTGATAATGTGATTTCAGTTTAGATTTACCACCTTACTATGCAGTGTTGTGTAAAATACATCTTGTTTGTGCTTTCCATGAAGTATTTTCTTAAAAGGCTTTGTGTACTATTAAAATGTGTATATTTTCCTACAGATCTCCATTGTGACTTTCAGAGATATAGCCTTAAAAAAAAAAAATGGCCCTGAGAAATTATTCAGTGTTTTTCCAGGTGACCTCCGTTATTAGGTCTCCGCTAGACCCTTTTTTAGCAAAATTATGGGGTTTAAGTTAGAATTTTTGTACACTTCAGCTGAAAGTTGACTGGTAAAATAGTGCCCAGTTAATAAAATGCTGACTTTGCTAAGGCACCACCCATATTTATTTAACAAAGTCATGGAGCTTTTGGGCTTTAAGGATACAGTTAGATAAGTGATTAAGAGTTCAGACTGTAAAGCTAGTCTAGAAGGCAAGTCACACTTAACCTTCCTCGGCCTTAGTTTCTTCATTGGAAAACAGGGATAATAATAATAATAACTACCTCAGGGTTGTTGTAAGGATTAAATGAGATAATGTGTGTAAGATACTTAGCTTGAGTGTCTGGCATGTAATGAGTACTCCACAAATGTTAACTACTACTGTTATTAACACTTAATCCAATGAGTTTTTGCCAAGGCTTTGCAGCAAAATTTCCTGGGGTTTAAAAAAAAAAAAAAACACCAACAAAAATCCTGATGCATTGACCTCACCCTGTGGAGCCCCCATGGGGCTGCGTCTCAACCAGTGTGTTTGCTGAGAGTCTCTCCAGCACGGTCAGTAGCAGCAACACTCTGACTTTTTTCTTCACAGCTTAGGAAGTGGGAAGAGAGGATGTTGAAGTTACTTGCCCATTAGCTCAGAGCAGTTAATTAGTGGCAGAGCAAAAGGCTAGAGTGTGTGGTTCTTAATTCACTTTCTCATTGTGGGGTCTTGCCACCATTCCTGTTGCCTTGTGAGACACTGCAAAAAAAGTGACTGAGATAGACAATCCGCTTGCACGGTGCTGCACACTTTCTAAAGCACACTTTCCTGGCACTCTCTGACCGTAAGGGACTTGAATGTTAAGTAATGGCTACACTAGCAAAGCGGGCATTCAGTAGAACTCAGTAATTTAAAAAATTATATGGGGTCATTCTTTTGGACAGACCTTAGTGACACAGCAATCTGCACTTTGTAATGAAGAAGTAGCAACTTAAAAAAACCTAGTCCTACATTCCTTTTTCTTAAAAACAAAAAAACTTTGTTTCGTATCATTTTAATAATTGAGATAATGTATGAAAGCACTTTGAGAAAAAGTATCTGGTATAACTATAAAGTTGTATTATTAATGTCTGTTTAGACATAGACATCTATAATGTCTATATAGATGTCTATAATTTAGACATCTAAATTAATGTCTATTTAGATGATGATTGACTTGTAAGCTTTTGCGTGCAAGGGACCCGAAAATAGAGATATATAAACAATCAGCTCTGTGATTTATCACATTTATAAGTATGAAACTGCTAAATGAGTATGTGCAGGTGTAGTTAACTGTTTTGCTAAAATGGTAACTCAGTGCTGAATAACTTCCCAAAACTAGGGACCAACTTTCTGGTTTAATTATAAAACTATAGTAACATGTTCTCACTCCAGAACAAAGAAGCTCTTGCAGGGACCTTGGCTCAAGAAGAGTGAGGCCCCCTCAGCCCTGAACATTTGCCCACCGCGTGCTCAGCCATTCCACGTCCCAAATATAGATGCTGGAGCAAGCTCGTTACCTGGTCACGTTGACAGTGTCTTTTTTTAACCTATGTCCTGTATAGTTCTGTTGGGTTTTTTTTTTTTGGTGGGGGGTGGGGGCGGATGGCTGTAGAACCAGTGCACTTTGGGAATTACTTTTCTAGGATTTCCTACCAGTTATAGATGAGCTTGACATTTATAATCCATGTTTTTTTTTTTGGTTTTTTTTGGTCTCCTAAGAGGAGGAGTGGAACGTAACTCACCTCTTAAATTATAAAGATACTCAAGAGGAAGTTGCGTTGGTGGCCACTTCTGAGTTGTAGCTCACTGCTTTTGGGCCTCTCCTCCTTCCTTCCATTTTTGCTACTGATGTCACTGTTACCCTCAGGCTCTGCATTCAACCCCGCCCCAAGGCAGTCACGTTGAGCTGACAGGGCTGTCTACATTTTTATACTTGATGATTTTGGGGTTTCATCATCTTGCTTGCATTAACTCCTTCTACCTGGATTTGGGGGCCATCTCTGTGTCCCAAGCATCTGTTACAACCAGTTATCTTTAGGTAAGTGTCTCTGGACATAAATTTCTTCTTATGTATTAATAGACTTCAGCTGTCTGTATCTCTGTCTCAGCTTCTGTCAAGCCAGTAGCTCAGTTCTTTGGTAACCTGCTTCAGTCGGGGGTGTGTGGGAACAGGCGAGAAATAGGGAAAGGCAGCCCTGGGGTTGCCCGCACCTTCCACGTGACCCGACAAGGACATCACTACTAGCCAGAGCTTCACCAGTCAGAGAGGAGAGGCCTTGGGCTGGTTCTGGAACTTGTCCCACTCTTTAATAGTCGGGAATTTCTATTTGGATGGAGTTCCAGTTTTACTAGCTACCAGACTTTTTAAAAGTAAAGGTTGGCTTTTCCTTGGCAAGCCAGCGTTGCCTGGAGTGACAGTTACCGTTACCTGCTTTGTTGCAGCTCGGTGACAGCCAGAAGTTCACTGCCATCCTCTGCCCTCCCGTGTGTCTTGGGGAGGCGGTGGGGGGGATCTCAGGGCTGTGGAATGGGCGGCACCCTGCTCCTGAGCATCTGCCCCAGTGTCTCTGAGCCCCCGTGGCCCCAGCCTGTCTTCTGTGGCATTTACTGTAGGGTCCCAGAAGATGAGTCTCTGCCTTGGGGCTGCTGCTTTTCACACCACCCAGCTGAGCCGAGTGTGTTCTGTCTTGAGATAACAGGGTGCAAGGGATTTCCTTCACTTCTGACTCCACGTCCTAGACCCACATCTCCCTCGGAAGTTAGGGAAGACTCCAGCCTGTGATCACCCAGGTGATCATCAGTGTTTTCCTCTGAGGAGGCCGGCCGGCATCGGGCATCTTGATTCCCGGCTGACTCAGGGTGGCAGAAGTCATTCCTAGAGAATTGTGCCTTCAGAGATGGGTTTCGTGTGTTTTGCAGAGGAAAGGACTTGTCAGCTAGGTTGATGCTGCCTGGTTACTGAACTAAAACTGGGGGAGTGAACATTCTGGTGGCGGTGGCTCGGAGCCACAGTCGATGGGCTGCTCTCTCATGGGCTGCTGGCTAGGTAGATGCTGTATGTTTCTCCACCTGCTTGGTGAGCTGAGGGGAAGACGCTGTCAACTGGGCCCTTTCCACCCTCCAAGTGCACTATTACAAACCTGAAACAGTTGACCTCTCCTAGAAGAGGCACATCCTTTCCCTTCCCCATTGCTCTGTGACCTCAGCCCGCGGTCACAGGTGGTGTGTGTGCAGATCTTTAGACCCGCAGCCCATCTGTGGGAAAGGATGTCTCCTTTTAAGTTGAAGGGCCGTGGTGTGCTCCACCCCCCCCCCCCCCCCAGTACACACTGTCTGTGTCTGTTCTGTGAGATTCTGTGTTCACCATTGTACTCAAAGCAGCAGGTTTCCGGATCCTCCATGTCATTCAAGCTGCTGAGCTATTATACACAGAAGGCTTGAGGTCTCCGCGAATTCTCGCTAACTCGTCAGGACACAGGGGAGGTGGACTGTGAAATGCCAGTGGGCTTTTAGAAAGGAAATGCATAGTTTGTCTGGTTGGAGCTTGCTTAGATTTGCCTCTAAGCCTCAGGATAGGCATTTCAAATCATGTAATTAAGCACTATAAACTCTTAATTGGAGAATGGGACCTCTGGTTAGTAAAGTTTTCACATCAAAAGATAATTTTCAGCATTTCTAACACAGTAATAACATAGATAGGCCAAACAAATTTATTCTCGATTCAGAAATTATTGGTGGAGAATCCAAATACTGTTCTGTACAATTCAGAAGTAGCGTACCATGTTTTATGAGTGGCAAGAATGCCACGAGACAGGTGTTTCCAATAGATGAGGGCCAGATAACCAGCCTTCCTCTGTTTTGACAAACCGGTTTTCACTGTGACCACTCTTGGAACTCCATCATGAAGGACATTCGCTGAGACTTTGAGAAGTCACCTTGATTAGACGGCCCTTCAGAGAAATTAGTATTCAGCAGCTGGAAGGACCCATGAGGTTCTCATCTTACTGTTCTCTAGGGCGTATGTTTGGACACCACCACCTCTCAGACCTGCGCAGAGGGAACATGCGATTCCACATTATGTACATACACTGTTGCGCTCACTAAGGAGGGGAGTGGGGGGAGCTGCTCAGATTTCCCTGTGGTGACTGGAAGCTGTGCCCTGGTTAGTGTGTGTGCTGTGAACAGGCCGACTGAGCTGTCTGTGCATGCTCAGAGCTCTGTCCCCTGGGTTGACCCCACACTTTTCTTTCTTGGCAATCTTAATTCTGTAGTGACTATCAGTGGAGAAACTCCAGTGTTGTGCTCGCTTGGCAAAAATAAATTTGAACATTTCATGGTGGTTGACAGAACTTTGTCCTTAAACCATATGATTCCGATTCTTTTAAAACGTGTTTAATGTCTATACCAAAGGTCACGCTCTGCAGGTGTGTGTGTGATGGGTGCACAGAGAGCAAGTCTGGAGGGCCTACCCCCCGGGTGCGTTGCTAAGGGGATGCAGTGAGACAGTGTGGGACTTAACGGAAAACACATCAGTCATGGGTCACACTACCAGTGTTGTCAGGTGTGTGTTCTTAATTGTTGTTGTGATATATTTTCAGGTGTTTCGTTTTTCTAATTTAATACTTTCACCCTGTCGTCTGACTGTGAACTGCTAACAGTGTTAAACTTGATGTAAATAATGAGACCCTTGAAAGGGGAATGCTGTCTGCCTGTTGTCTCACAAGGCTTGCCAACTTGTGTTTTATTTTAAATAAAGGTTGCAATATTTTATTGTCAATATAGGCCTGTGATTGGAGTGTTTCTCCCATAATTTTAACTGATAGGTAATTTAAGCATAATTTCTTTCTCTATATATACATATAAAATGGTATCTGTAAGGTAAAAAAGCTGATTTTAGCAAGCATCCCCTGGAACATTCTTTCAAGTGGTCCTTTATGAGTGTGGCTACTCATCCTCAGATGGATTAGTTCTGGAAATGGCCAGAGGATCATCTGGAGCCCAGCTGATACATAAGGTGAGTGATGTGTGTGAGTCTGTCCATCCATCCATCCAACATGAGCTGACTGTAAAATGAAACTTCATTCTCTGAAAGTTCATTCTGAGGACATCTCCAAATAAGTTCTAAAAATGTTTGGAGCCAAAGCAGCATTAATGGAGTAAGTATAGAACCTCACAGGGAACATTCTAGTCTTCTTTGACTTGGTCTTCAATTTTTAAGAAATGAGTGATATCATTGCTTTTAGAAGTAACATTTTAATTTTTTTTATTAATTTAATTGGAGGCTAATTACTTTACAGTATTGTAGTGGTTTTTGCCATACATTGACATGAATCAGCCATGGGTGTACATGTGTCCCCCAGCCCAAACCTCCCTCCCACACCCCTCCCCGTCCCATCCCTCTGGCTTTGAATTTTTAATATATTTTACTGAAGTGTAGTTGACTTACAATGTTCCAGGTGCACAGCGAGGTGGTTCAGTTGTGTGTGTGTGTGTGCTCAGTCATGTCCCACTTTTGGGGACCCCGTGGACTGTAGCACATCATGCTCCTCTCATCACGGGGTGCTCTAAGCAGGAACACTGGGGTGGGTCGCCATGCCCTCCTCCAGGGGATCTTCCCGATCCAGGGATCAAACCCGTGTCTTCTGTGGCTCCTGCACTGCAAACAGATTCTTTACCTCTGAGCCCCTGGGGGAGCCCTGATTCAATATATTGTGTATATATAGATTCAGTTATGTATACACACATACTATTTTTTGATTATTTTCCATTATGGGTTATTACAAGATATTAACTATAATTTCCTGTGCTGTGCTGTAAACCTTTGTTGCTTGTTGCATATCTGTGTTTTTAAATTAGAAATCTAGCACTTTTATCTAGTTTTGTTTCACTTTTTCTGTTTCATGTTCAGGGCTCCCATTTCATTTGTTTTTCAATTTCTCCTTTTTGATATTCTTTCTCATGCCTTTATAAAGTGTAGTAGAAAAATTTTTGTACATATAAATCGTATGTATATTTTAGAAGACTTATGAGTTTCTGCCTAGCTAAGAAATTTATGACATTTTGATTCCACCATTTGACTTATTATGAATAGACTGCTCATTTCTAATAGAAGTGACATTTTGCTGAAGGACAAGTAGCATATACTCAAGCGATGTGTGCATAAGGTTCAATTAGAATGGCTGTTGTAGGGAGCAGAATTTGCCACCCCAAAATGCGCTTCGTTAGCATAAGGATTATTTTAAGTTGGTTATTTATAAGAAATTGCGGACACAGGTGAAGCTCTGAAAACTGAGTAAAAGTTATTCTTTTGTGAGAGATTTTACATTTGTGAGGGAACTCTCCACTTGTTAGGGTATCTCCCTTGCTGTTCCTGGAAGAGGAGGATCAAGTCTCTAGAAACTTAACAACAGAGAAGGTGGTTACTTGTCACTAAACCTGCAGAGCAGCCTCACAGTGGTTTACTGTGCTCTTCCTGGTAACCGTCTGTAACTGACCGCCGGCCTGCACCTCCCTGCCCCTCCGGACCCAATATCTGCTTTTGTCTTTAGCTGAAAATAGTATTTAAGGTGGTAACTTCTGCCATTTTGAAGTTAGTTTTCCTGTGTCTCTCCCATGTATACGTTTTATTAAACTTTTATTTTTCTCCTCTTAATCTTATGTCAGTTACTAGGCCAGCAAGACTGTAGCAAGGGAAGAAGGAAAACTTCCTCCTCGACCCTGTTAAGCGTCAGTTTATACACCTCGTACCCTCCACTGTCTCCTTTTCTCCCACACAGTTTTACTTTAGGAATTCTTGTTTCAGATTTTTCTGAGGAGAACCTCCCATTGTTATCTTCTCCTTCTCTGTATTGCTTGCAATACTTTCCAAACCCAAGGCTATAGCATTCACCAAAAAAAAAAAAAAAAAATCATTTTAGAAACAAGTCATTAAAGCATTGGAGTTGGACTGCCTGAGTTGAATCCCATTTCTCCACTGATGAGTTCTGTAAAGATGATTAAACCTCTCAGAGCCCCAGTTTTCTCAGTCATTGAATGGTGATTACACTGACCCCTAAAGTTTAATCCGCAGCATTAAGAATTACATGAGGTTAGGCAGTGCATGTGGCACATGACGTGTTTGCAAACGTTACGTTACCTCAAACCAGGGGTCTGAGAGAATGGAGGGAAAGGCCCTTCCTGGGCTTTGAGTATGGTGCCAACCTTCTGTGTCCTGAGTACTTGATAAATACTAACTCACTGAATTCTCACAGCCCTGTGAGGTAAGCACAGTCATTACCAAGGTTAAACTGAAGTTAGCAGCTTTCCTGTGGTCTCACCAGCGGGCGGTAAGTAGCTGAGCCGTTTCTGGCCCCAGAGGAGTGTCTGCAATTACTGTAGTCTGCTGCTCGTTCTGGTCTCGAGGTATGAGGTTCAGACCCAGAATTTATGACGTCAGATATGGCTGACCTGTGCTGTAAGCAAGTCAGCTGTCCCGTGGCTCTGAGACCTAAAGCTGTACAACGTACCTTTTAAAGTGTCTCTCTACAGTTTAGATCCAGGTATGTTACAGGACTGGGGGGCTGCAGACTGTTCCCGAGATGCTCTAGACTGAGACAGGCACCTAAGACTGACCCCCATTTCATTCTGCAGTTGGGCCAAGTTTACTTCCGTCTCATGGGTGGTGCGAAACTAAGCTCCTTTCATTCTCTTGCGTATTGACTGGGTATCTGATGTGGCGCGGGCAGCTGTGGAGTGAATGAATGAATGGTGAAACGGGAGAGAAGCGGAAGCGTCTACCTTTTACTAGCACTGCCGGTGAGAGGGCGGGGTGGACTGTAAATAAAAGGACCACCTGCGGGGAGGACGCGAAAGCAGGGCCGTGTGTGATTCCACAAGTGTGGCAGAAGGGAAGAACCAAGGGAAGGGGCAAAACGGCGAGCACCTCCTGTGTATCCAGAGGCACAGTGCCCACATCTGCATGTGGCCATTCAGTCCTCCAGGATGACTTTAAAGCTGGGAGCATAGGAGTGCTGTTTCCATATATAAGGGCAAGATGCTGTGGAGGCCTCTTCACTAAGAGGTGGAAATAGCCTGGCTCAGTTGATGTGGGCCCGAAGCAAACGGAGGTAAATTGGCAGAGCAGGTGACCCCCAGTCAGCTCAGTGCCAGCACACACCCCATCTCCACCAGTCCCCACCCATACCACCTGGTGTGTGGAATTTTGCTCTGGGAGCATGATTACTAGGGCTTAGTAAGAAGGTAAGTAAGCCGAGGGTTTTAGAAAAAAATACAAAATTTTAATTTTTACATATGTTAAGTTCACTAATTTAAATCTTAAAAATCTGCAGAGCAGAAGAATTCACCTATACTGATTAAAAAAAACAAACTTCCTCTGTGCCCTTTAGCCTGAAGCTCTTGCCTGAGCTCACAGATAGAAGCTGCTCAGCCTCCCTCTAGGAATAACAACTTGAAAGCTCACCCACCCAGCCTGCAAATGTGAGGTCAGCCCCTGCCACTGGTAAGCAGAAGTTCGTCTTTCCCTTCTCTGTAACCGAGCATACTGCAGCCTCAGGCCCAACACCAAAGCCAGGGATCTGCGGGCAGATGCTAATAAGTCCTTGGGATGTCTCTCCCGCATGACCTTCCCCAACCAGCTGGCTCACATTTCGGAATGTGGCTCTTTAAGGCACCAAGTGATTTTAAGCATTGGCTCTGTCTCTGATCTAAGGCCACCGCTCGTGTGCTTGTGACTGCTGGCTGCCAGCCCGCCCTTCCAACCCGTTATGTCCTGGACAGTGTGCTGCCACGACAGCCCAGGGTCCATTGGGGGAAGGAAGGCAGCTTCGGGAAGTTTTCATCTAGCCCTCAGGCAGGACATAGCTAATTCTCTGGGAAATAGATTTGCATCCCTGAGATGAGAAGAGCTGTTCCTCCGTGGGGATGTACACCATCATCCTAGCAATTTCGTCGAGGGCCTCTTCCGTATACAGGAGGTCCTGGCTCAGGAGAGCATCGCGTGCGCACAGCCTCACGTGACGGAACTCCAGTGGCAGGAAGGGGATGAAGAGGTCAATCAGGTTTTCCTTCACAAGACGGCTGTGCCCAAAGCCACTGTCTGAAATCAAGAGCAGCATTACATGGGGTCTGACCTGAGGCTGAGCCCAGCCAGAGTCGAGGTGTTCCCCCACCCTAAGGCCTGGGTGAGGTTTGATCCCACATGCCAACTCGGGGAAGGCTGTCTTAAGAACTATGCAACTGTGTCTCCCTTTAGGGAGAGGGGGCCGAGAGGAACAAGACGTGTGAGAGAGGGAGAGACAGTGCACATGCCTGTCAGGTTATGGCTTCATTTGATGGCAGAGGTGCAGCGACCCTACCTATGACTGGAGGCTGAGCCACTCAGATTCACATAGACTTTCTTCCTCAAGAGTCTGTATGGCCAAGGCCAACTATTCTGTTTTTAAGGAATAGTTTTCAGAAAAGGACTTTTCTCATGCCTACCTCAAACTGACAACAGGAATATTATATGGCATCTCCTCTGTGGTCCTGAGTACCCTGTCTTATCTCATGAACACAACTTCCAGCACATACACGTTTTTCCCTACCTCCCCTCTCACCAGAGGCTTATGTTCTGCAAGGCTGGGAGTCACTTACCTGTGGATGCCGCAATCTCAGCTTGGAGGCGGGACTCTAAGTGTTCCATCCTGATTTCTTCCCGGGACTGCCCAGCCTTAAGCAGGTTCAGGACCACCTCATTGATGATATTGCCCCCAAGGTTACTGAAAGAGACAAATCCTGTTAATAGATTCTTTGGTGGTGGTTTTTTAAAAATTGGAGTTAGTTAATAAACAATGTTGGGTTAGTTTCAGGTGAAACTAAGTGGTTCAAACTAATCACTTTGAATAACAGTGATTCAGTTATATAGATATATGTTCAGATTATTGTCCATTTTGGTTATTATAAGACACTGAATATCGACTCTTGTGTTATACAGTGAGGCCTTGTTGCTTAACTATTTTATATATACGAGTGTGTATCTATAAATCCTATACTCCTAATTTATTCCCCACCTCCCGCTTCCCCTTTGGTAACCACAACTTTATTTTCTCCATCTATGGATCTGTTTGTTTTGTATATAGAATAATATGAATAATTCTTTTAGATTCCATATGTAAGTGATATGATATTTGTCTTTCTCTGACTGAGTGTGATATTCTCTAGGTCCATCCAGCAAATGGCAATATTTCTTCGTTATGGGTGAGTAATGTTCCATTGTGTGTGTGTTTCTCACATCTTCTTAAAACAATCCTCTGTTGATGAGCATTTGGGTTGTTTCCATATCTTGGCTTTTGTAAAGACTGCTGCTTTACATGCATGTGTGCATGTGTCTTTTTCAATTACAGTTTTCATCATTTCTGGATATGTGCCTAGGAGTGGGACTGCTGGATCAGATGGTAGATTTATTTTTAGTTTTATGAGGAACCTCCAGACTTTTCCATAATGACTGCACCAATTTACATTCCTACCAGCAGTGTAGGAAGGTTCGTATTTTCCATACCCTCTCCTGCATTTTTTATTTGTAGACTTTTTAATGATAGCCATTCTGACCAGTATGAGGTGATATCTCATTGTGGTTTTGATTTGCATTTTTCTAATAATTAGTGATGTTGAGCATCTTTTCATGTGTTTGTTGGCCATCTGTATGTCTTTGGAGAAAGGTCAATTTAGGTATTCTGCCCGTTTTGGGGGGGCTTCCCAGGAGGCTCAGTGACAAAGAACTCCCCTGGAATGCAGGAGATGCAGATTTGATCCCTGGGTCGGGAAGATCCCCTGGAGGAGGACTTGGCAGCCCACTCTAGTATTCTGGCCTGGGAAATCCCATGGACAGAGGAGCCTGGCAGGCTATAGTCCATGGGGTTGCAAAGAGTTGGACACAACTGATCATGCACACATGCCAATTTTTAAGTTTTTGATGGGGGAATTATTGAGTTGTATGAACTGTTCATATATTTTGGAAATTAACCCCTTGTTACATTGTTTACAAAAATTATTTTCTTCTTTTCTGTAGCAGGTTGTCTCTTCATTTTGTTGATGGGTTCCTTTGCTGTGCAAAAGCTTTTAAGTTTGATTAGGTCCCATGTGTTTATTTTTGCTTCTACTTCTTTTGCCTTGGGAGACTGATCCAAGAAAACATTGCCACAATTTATGTTGGAAAACGTTTTGCCTATGTTCTCTTCAAGGAGTTTCATGGTCTCATGTCTTAGATTTCATTATTTTTATATTTGGCTTCTAAATGCACAGTCTGGCCACTGAAGCCATTGGTGACTGGAAGAAAGGAGGTTGAGGGGCCTGGGCCTCCTGTCTTCCAGGAAATCTTGTCACAACACAAGTCTGTACAGAAAAGGCACTGTCCTGCTTTGTCCTCCACTCTCCCTGCCTTGCTGTCTTTTGACCAACACTGACACTGTACTATATGCAGAGTGCACAAAGATGGTAGGATTTCGGTCTTTCCCTTGACTTCTATATGGAAGGAGAGGCCCATGTGTATGATTCCAGGGCAGCTGGGGCCTGGGGATAAGACTTAAGAGGGAAGAGGAGGGTTCTGGGCAAATGCAGACTGCACAGTGCTCATTAGACATGAGGCAGGAAGGGCACATACCCAGGCATGGGTGGTCAGAGGGCTTGTGGGGGTCAGGAGCTGCAAGCTGCTTGGAGAGGCTGGCAGAGCAGGGGCATGGAAGGCAGGCTGAGGCTGGCATGAGGCCTTTGTCAGCCATTCACGTGGATTTTAGCTTATAGGCCACAGAGAGACGTTGAAGGGTTGTGAATTTGGGAGTACAGGGTAGTAAGGTGGTCTGATCGGCTATCTTTCTAATAAGATTTTCTTGGGCCACAGTGGTTGCATTGATGAGAAAGCTAGTCAGGGAGCTTAGTGCCATAGTCCATGTTTAGAGATGATAAAGGCAATGGAGAAGGGTTTAAAGATATGTAGGAGGCACTACTGAGAGGGCCCTGTAACTGATGGACGTGAGAAGGAAGACAAAGGAGGTCACCAAAGAGAAACAAGTGTCTGCCTGGAGCAGCCCGCAGCCCGCTCAGCGGAAGTGCGATTTAAGAGAAGGGTGGAGACGCCAGCTTGGATTTACACACGGTTGAGTGTTGTGCCCTTGCCTGTGACCTCACCAGGGGTTGTAATTTCACTGGAATTGTGGGCCTAAAACACAGGAAAGAGGACTGAGTTAGAATGATGCGGGATAGAGGAAATCTTAGAGTGGGGAAGGAGGAAGTGGAGCCAGGAGTGGGCTGCAGGTCATGCTCCCCGCTCCTGGCGTCCTCCTCTCTGTCTCACAGTACTCACGTCCCCTCCCAGGCCTTCTGCTAGCTCCTTAAACAAACCGAGCTCTGCCCTGCTTTTTCCTCCAGCCCAGTATAGTGAGGGAGCATGAGTGACGGAAGCAAGGGAAGGAGCAGAGAGCCAGTATTTCCATTCTGTCCTCATCAAGCTCTGAGTGACTGAGACTCAGGTACATTAGCTCATCTGTCTGCTCGTTCAGCAGTTGAGTATGTTCTGGGGGTGGGTTTGGGACACAGAGGAGGAGGTGGGTGGTTCTCTGCCTGCCTGCCTCCACGGATGGACAAGGAGGACACCTCCTGGGGCAGGCATCCTTTCCTGCTAAGGGATATAGTCTTCCTTCCTGTAGGGGCCAGTGTGCCCCTCACAGCTCCATTTCACTCCTGAGGCCAGGAGCCCCCAGCCGGAGGGCCTGGCACGGACGAGGGGAGCCCCCACCCCTTGTCCCCTGCTCAGCCAGACTTCCTCTGACCTCTGCAGGTGGGAAAGCTGCTTACGTCAACTCTCTTCTACTTCCTGAAACCGCGGTCCTTCTCTTCCTGTAGGAAGGCCTACTGGGCGGGTCATCTGTATACATGCCAGACCACAACTGCGTCAGCTGAGCCAAGACCTGCCCATCCTGCATAACTCAGGCAGGTCTACACATGTGCGGGCTGCAGGGAGGGGATCCAGGGTTAAGGGGAGAGGACTAGGATTCACTCATTCAGCGCCAGGGGTACAGACTCCAGTGTCTTCCCCATTTGCACCCAGAAGGCCACTTGACGTGACGTCTGAGATCTCCACCTCCCTTCTGACTTTTCTCCTCTAGTCCCACAGCCAAAGGTGTCTCTTCTTCCTCCATGTTTCAGGCTTTATCTCACCCACCAGTACATAACTGGGGCCCCTTTTCTATTCCAACCCAACCCCAACATTCTACCTTTTAACAGAGCTTGCCCTTGCAGATGCTTCCCGTTCCCTTGCACATCCTCTCAGGTCACCTGCGGACTGGGAGGTCTGAAGGGACAGGGGACAGAAGGCCCCCCTAGTGAGGCACCCTCTGCCCAGGCTCTGGGAGGGGACAGCATGTGGTCTTACCAGTCCTAGGATCACAGAGGACAGGGACTCAAAAACCTCTCCAGAACCGTGCTCACCAACCCCAGCCTGGACTGCTAAGTCTTCCCTAAAGAAACCACAAACTTGACTCTAGCGTCATCTCCCCAAGCCTTTGTTTCCTAATTTGTAAAATGACCTGAAGCAGACAATTTAAGAAGCCCTCCTTAGGTCACCTTAGGTTCGATGGTCAGTCAACAAATAGACATTTCCATGAGTACTTTCTGTGTGCTGGGGTACAAGGCCTTTGATTGCATGAACAACTTACACTTGTATAGTTCTTTTAATTTTTAAAGCCCTTTCTATCCATTCTCCTGACCACAGCCCAAAGAGAACAGGTATATTAATTCTCTCTTCAGTTTACAGCTTCAATGGGAGGACCATGGCTCTGATCTCCAGAGTTCCGTGTGCCCATCCAGCCCTGTGACACCATTCCCAGAGCTTCTGTACTTGGTAGAAATGGGCAAACGTAGTCAATGTTGGTTTTCTGGTACCCAGCCAGGGGCCCTGATTTCCTCAGACCCAGAGGCAGGACTGGTTCTGAGGGTTGGGGTGACTAACTGCTCCCCGACTCCCCACTACACTCCCTGCTTTTCTACGATCAGACACCACCACGTTGCAGGGGGGCCAGCAGAGCCACTAGCACTTGACTTCAAATAGCACGTTCAGGATTTGTTTCAGGATTGAACCACGGACCTTAAACTAGCGATTTGTTTGTACCATCAGTGCTTTCCTTTCACATGTAAGAGTCCTCACCACATAGGCAAGGTCACTGGAGAAATCAAGTCCAGAGACATCACCGGAACACCTGATGGGGTCTGGCGGTGCTGCGCCACAGGGTCAGTCTGGCTGGCCCTCGGGCTCCAGAAGTCCACCCAGGCCTGTTGGGCGCCAGTGGCTCTCACAGGCTGGGCCCACATCGGAGTCAATGGAACTGGAGGCCATGTCCTCGCCTCCAGTCACCAGTGTGCGTCCTCCTCCCCAAGGGGCTCAGAGGCTCCTCCAGGGCCAGCAGGGTCTCTGCATTCCCTGCCAGAGTAGGCCCAGAGGGGCAGCTTCTCCCCAGACCCTGCCCACACTCTGCTCATTGGGACCCTCTGGCCTCAGGGAACAGAGGCCAGGCTAACGGAGGAAGGGCAGGCAGTGGGTTAGACAAGAGAGTGCTGGCGGGTCTGTGACTAAAATACATCTGCCTAGAGATAGCAGGGTCACCTGGGTCACATTAGGAAATCCTGCCACCAGTGAGGGTGAGGTTTTCTATGCCGAGAACTGGTGGGAAAGTCAGCGCCTGGGCACGTCGGGCCAAGTTGGGGAAAGGTTGGCCATGGCCATTGCCAG